TTCTATCTCTGTCTCTGTCAGTCTGGCAAGCGCACGCGCCCTATAGCAAAAAAACCTCTCCGGAAAAAAAAAACAAAACAAAACCTGTTTCATGGCTTGTTTACACATTCATTCATTGATGCAACTCAAGTCTGTCATATATTTACTAAGTTCAGAAGCTTACTATGTACCTGGAAGGATTAAAAAAAAAAAAAAAAGGAAAAAAAAGGAAGGAAAGAAATATGGTCTCTGCTTCCAGAGGCTTTTAACTGTATAAATCTAGCAATAACCATTTGGGCACAGTTAAGCAGAAAGTCATGAAATATACATATCCATTCTCACACATACAGTGCGTTTAATCATTACTGATGGACAAAGGATAAAAAGGCCTGGAAGGGTGTATATTACATCAACCATGGTTACCTCCGAGTGGTGAGATTATATGTCATTTTTTCATCGTATTTCTTAAACAAATAGAAATAACTCCTAAATACAAAAATAATCATGTATAACTATTAAAGATTTGGCTTAGAACACAACACCCCAAGGGGCTTTGGCAAGCTGAGGACTTTGAATCAAAGGAGATTGGCAGCATCTTGGAGGCAAAGTTTCCTTGAATCTTTTTCGTTCTCCTCCTCCCACCCACCCCACCCCTGTTTCTCCCTAAAATAGGTCTTAGAAACAAGAGTTTCTCTCCCCTCAAGGTGGGGCACAGAAAGTACAACTCCATTTCTCTAAAGGAAGCCATGAAAACCCAGAAAGGCAGAGGCCAGCAGGTGGTGTGGTGGTGAAGGTGTTGGACCCCTGGACCTGGCAGTTTGCTGTCTCACTTTCCCTCTCTCTCTCTGGTCAAATTTAAAAGTAATCCTAATAAATGAATCATTCTTCTAAAAAAAATTGCAATCCATATTGAAAAGAAAAAAAAAACTGTCAAATTGAGCAGTCTCTGTATAGTGCTTAAATGCTCCTTCATTTTTTTTCCTCGATGGATGTTTTAGGCTTATTTTTTTGTTTTGACTAAAATTTGAAACTTTATATTAGTGCATGCTCTGAAAGATCTGTTATAATGCAGCATTTTCAAATCAGTGTGCATGAGATGAACTGCA